ATAAAGCTTCATAGCACCTCATAAAGTGTCATAATAATGCTTTATAACAACTCACAATGCTTCATAACACTTCATAACTCCTCATAATGGCTCATAATGCTTCATAAAACTGTAAAATTCCTCATATAGGCTAATGGTTCATTAATGCCTTAACACATACAGCTCCATAAAGCTTCATAGCACCTCATAAAGTGTAATAATAATGCTTTATAACAACTCACAATGCTTCATAACACTTCATAACTCCTCATAATGGCTCATAATGCTTCATAAAACTGTACAATTCCTCATATAGGCTAATGGTTCATTCATGCCTTAACACAAACAGCTCCATAAAGCTTCATAGCACCTCATAAACCTTCATTTAATAGTGCCTATTAAACATCTCATAATGCTTCATAAAGTTTTATACTGTAACACTTCACAATGCCTCAGTACACTTTACAATACTTTATAATATATAATTACGCTTCATATCCCTTCATAAACTGTCGTAAGAGATAAAAGTCCTTCGTAACAGCTTCATAACATTTCGAAATGCTTTGTAATGCTTCATAACATTTCAGAACACTTTGTAAGGCTTTATAACAGCTCATAATGTTTGATGAAGCTTCATAACACTTCTCAATGCTGAATACCGCCGTATAATATTATGTATAGCTGCTAAACGGTTTATAATCCTTTATAACAACTCACCATGCTTCATAACACTGCATAACTCCTCATAATGCTTCACAACCTTTATTAAAGTGTTGTAAAAGCTTATAGGACCTCATAACCCTTCGTAAAGTGTCATAAGAGCTTACTGTATATTACCTTAAAATTCATAGCATTTCAGAACACTTCGTAAGGCTTTATAACAGCTCATAATGTTTGGTGAAGCTTCATAACACTTCTCAATGCTGAATAACGCCGTATAATATTATGTATAGCTGCTAAACGGTTTATAATCCTTTATAACAACTCACCATGCTTCATAACACTGCATAACTCCTCATAATGCTTCACAACCTTTATTAAAGTGTTGTAAAAGCTTATAGCGTCTCATAACCCTTCGTAAAGTATCATAAGAGCTTACTGTATATTACCTTAAAATTCATAGCATTTCAGAACACTTCGTAAGGCTTTATAACAGCTCATAATGTTTGGTGAAGCTTCATAACACTTCTCAATGCTGAATAACACCGTATAATATTATGTATAGGTGCTAAACGGTTTATAATCCTTTATAACAACTCACAATGCTTCATAACACTGCATAACTCCTCATAATGCTTCACAACCTTTATTAAAGTGTTGTAAAAACATATAGCGCCTCATAACCCTTCGTAAAGTGTCATAAGAGCTTACTGTATATTACCTTAAAATTCATAGCATTTCAGAACACTTCGTAAGGCTTTATAACAGCTCATAATCTTTGGTGAAGCTTCATAACACTTCTCAATGCTGAATAACGCCGTATAATATTATGTATAGCTGCTAAACGGTTCCTCCAGGTTTCTCTCAATAGGAGCAAGAGGATGAAGGGCTTCATTGATAAAAATGTCCCCTGGCCCTCAATCCGTTAATCTGTGTCTCAGGCTCTGATTAGCACTGCATGTGCCTCCTCTGAGAGCTAAAGCTGCTGATCCTGTAATAGCAAAAACACCTTCAGGAGCGCTGCACTGATTTCTGACTCGGCACACACAAAACGCTTGATACTTACGACCCCAGAACTTCCTTGAAGTCGAAAATGTCCTTGATGTCGTTGGTGATTTTCTTCCAGCTGCAGTCGATCTCCTTCCGACCCATCGCGGCTCGAGTTTCACAAGCTGACTCCTGCAGCAGACACATGTTCATTCACAATGACACTTACATAAACATCACATGTGCTCGCAATCCTTCAGAAGTGTGACTTTACTCTTATATAAACGTGAATGTCGCACTAACGAGCGTGAGTTTTAATCTCTATGTGGGTTAGTTATATTGCTTTAACTCTCTCACACTGATATCTGGAGCAAAATCACAGACCACCAGAATAACTCATCAGACATTGTATTAGTTAATGTGAACAAAACATTATATTTTTACTGCACAGAATTGCACTGCACAAAAATTTTTGGTCCCTAATTTTTATCAATTTTACTCTATGAAGAATTTTTGGGTATAATATGTCACAGTTTACTTTATTTTGCTTTCCTCACTTACATAAATGAACTATAGTGTCCTGCACCCACTAGTAAAAAATATTATATTATTATAATATTATATCTGGTGTCTGAATAATTTTTGGTTTGACTGTATATATATATGTGTGTGTGTGTGTGTGTGTGTCTGTGTGTGTGTGTGTGTGTGTTACACTGAAAATAAATGGTATAGAAACAGTTTTCACTTAAATGTATTTAACAATTAATTACAAAGAAACGGAAGGCAATTAAATTAACATTAAATTTTGAAGTAGCAAAACAAACAGTATTTTCTTGTAAAATGTAATGTGCTCCAATAAACTTGTTTTTAAACTGTTTTATTTACAACTTTTTCTTCTTCCTCCTTTTTTTTACAGTGCAACTAATTAATTAACTAATGAGACCTTACTGTAAAGTGATACCGATTTCACAATAACTTCATTTAATAACATTAATAAGCATTATCACAACGAGCAGTAGCTACTCAACTTTAATGCATGCACTTTTCATTATATTCAAGACTACACGTTTATATGACGTTTCATTTACATTTATCTTTCGTCTTTTAATGTCTTTCTTTTTAACGTTTAACATTTACGGTCAAAATATTGACATCAGGCAACATTTACAGTTGAAAAATTTGAATTTAGAAAAACGAAATCGAACAACTGCTACAATAAATGAAACCATGCATGATAAACTCTGCTGATTATTCTCGGTTATTAATGAATATGAATATGCAGTGTCTTACCCGGAGCGGACTGCAGGAGTGAGAGCCGACGAGCATCTACCTGCTCTGGAGAGTGCGGGGGCGGGGCCGAGGCGCGTGACGTCACCAACGATCACCCGAGAGCCAATCAGAACAACACTGCATTACAAAGCCTCGCTCGCTTTCAAATTGGACGTAATATCTGATGTTAAATATGCTAACCTGTACTTTAATGATGACAAACCAACGCGGATTCATTTCTGCTCATTAATTTTGTGAGGAACTTTAAAAAAGCACACGTGTTCACCAATGTGAATCTTAATACCCTTACAAAATAGCGTATTTTTAATGCTTTCTTTAACATTTTTAAGACTTCAATGTAATGAAAATTGCAATAAAAGATGTATGCTAAAATGCAATGTTTTGATATATATATATATATATATATATATATATATATATTAAAAAGTTTTTTTTCAGTTTGGTGTATATATTATGCCAAATGTAAAAAAAAAAAATCGAATTAAAATAATCAAAATAAATAAATGCTAACCTCTGAAGGCATTCATCTATGTCTTGCACTGCTTAGATTATTCTGTTGATACAATTTCAACACTCAAAAGCTTCTAAAGGGTCATAAACTGTTCAAATAACATGAAAAACTAGTCTTTTATTGTATATGTTTGTGGTTGAGAGCATAAGTGCGTGTATCATTTCAGTGAGTTGAGAGAGTTTATCCTGTTTATCAGCACACGGCTCAATCATCTGCAGTAATATTACACCAGATTATAATCATAATGATTACATAACACAAAAACCTCCTTATCACTGGCTGGATGAATGATGTATAAGTGTTTTTTTTAAATATACCAATTATTACAATGACCTAATATGATGAATAATAATAATAATAATAATAATTAATTAATAATATACCAAAATGATTTAATATGAAATTAGTTGATTTATTTATCTTCTTTCAATAGTCCTACTCCACATATCTTCTCTTATAAACAAATAATATTATATTGTAATATAATATGTTGCATATTTAATGTAAATGGAACATAATTTTGCATAATTTTCTGTGATGCACATTGTTTTTAAAGTCTTATCTTTAAGATAACGGACTGTGTGTGTCTTTAACAACACTAGATGCTCGTTTAAGAACAATTTAAGCTCCTGTGAGTCGGTTTAATCTGGTTAAAATTACCTTACCAGAAAATTAAGAGCGCTTCCTGATCTCGTTTCTCATTCTGGGCTGTGATTGGCTACGCAGCAGGATGTGGGCGGGTTTAAGTTGCCCTAAAATTCACAGGACAGGAAAGAGAAGCGGTCATTTATTCCGAGGAGCCTGTGAAGGACCATTATCAAACGTCTGTAAGCGTTGATATAATTCCAGCAAAATGAGGATGAAAGTTTAATCCAAACCAGATAACATCCACTCAACTCTATTATTCAATTATATGGACATGTTTTTCATTCATAAACTGCATTAAGCCACATAATTGAATATTGATATCTCTGTCCAGTGCATTCATTACCAGAACAATCCAAATAAAAGCAGCGTGAAATGAGCAACAGCTGCCACGATTCGGTTTTGAAGCTTCTCATTGTCTCTCTGAATTTAATTACTGTTAATTAGCATCATTAATCAGTTTGCCATGGCTTCGCACCGGTTTCAGGAGAAACAAGCATATTCAGCTGCATTAAATCAGAATATTTAATGCTGATCTGTTTGTATCGTGTTCAGGACAGACGTGCGCAGCCACATTCACAAAGGTTACACTATAATCCAGTTCATCTGCGGTGCTCAGCAATGAGTGAATGAGTAAGTAACTCACCACTGCCACCTGGTGGAAACACGCAGTCAATTACACTCAACCCACTCAAAACCGAAACGGCCATTCATGTTGATTTGAATGTTTATTTTTAACTAAACTAGTCGTTTAAGATCAAATAACCACACTAAACCATCAGTTATTTATACAAACACTCATGACTACATATAAAAGAGCCGCCATCAGCATCATCAGACCGAATGCAAGCAAAATCATTCTGACGATCCATCCGCACGTAGACCTCCAGGACAACAGGGGGCGCTGTGGTGGAGCGAGACATCTGCAAACGTGACACAGCATGTCAATGGTATTATTTATGCACATAAATTATGATAATTACATGTAAACATACAGCTCAGGGTTGGGCTCCTCCCCTCGTTCTGACTCCTCCCCCTCAAATGAACTTCCTGTAGGAGAATAACGACGGCGATGGCGCAGCGACGTGATTTGCGTTGCACTGGCGAATACGAAGTGTGGTCACATGCACTTACATAGTGTACGGATACATCTCAAGAGCATTGGTTGCGTTTTACCTTTGAAACACGCTGCTGTCCACGTCATCGTCTTGGTTTAGACTGCTCGCGGGAGAATCTGCGGGAACTACTTCCTGTCTGAGAGATGCAGAAAATAATCAGTATCTCTGGCTGAATTAAGTCTTAGCTACTCTCAAATTTAAGGATGTGTGGTTTTACCTCCTGTCTGCTTGCGGCTTCTTTGCATCCAAACTAGCTTTGCAGTTCTCCAGAAACAAAGCCTCTAGATGCTTCAACTGCAGAAATAAAAACCCCTCGAAGACTCATGAAAACATTCAGATGCTAAACCTGAAGAAATGAATGCTGGAATATGGTCCATAAACACGTACCTCAGATTGAGTCGGGAGGAAGGTGATGCTGACCCTGCGACGAGTCGGCTACAACAAAAAACACAAGCTATTATTGATGGTCGGAATAATATAAAGCTAAAGGTAAAGGCAAAAAGAATGACATTGAGTAAAAATGTCACAATCTTCATATTTTGGCCAACTAAGTCTTTAAATAGGAGTTAGTGAGGTACTTACACTAGTCTTAAAGTTCATTCATGGTCAGTTACCTGTTGTGATGAATATCTGAACAGGTCTCGATCATCTGTTTGAGGAAAACTCTAGTTATATAAGAGTACAGATTTATTTAAACACTGGGATGAGATTCTCAGATGTCCTCCAGGCCACTAGGGGCAGCACTGACCTGTGGAGTCACTGTGCAATCGGCCCTTCCTCCTGTGCAGCAGCTTTCTGACCTCCAGCATCTCCTCGCTCTGTATAGCGTGACGTCTCTTGAGATGCTCCACGTGTACTGACATCAGCTCTACTGCATGACTGACACGCGTTTCCTCATGCATGCAAAACATGAACAATGCATGGTTAATATTAAAAGGCTCAGTGCACTGTCTGTGGTGTGACATCTCTGGTTTGAGGTGTTTGATTTTGTAAGGTACCTGGTGTGTAGCTCCGAGCATCTCTGCTGTTTTGAGGACATTGTCCGTGTTGCTTTCAAGCATCTGCAGGTTGTTCTCCATCTGCTGCACCATCTTTTTGCTGTCCACCTCATGTAGGCGCTCATACAACACCTGCAAGATGACAAACTAGGGATGCACCGATACTGGTCTCCTGTACTCGTACTCGTTAAAATGCCCCGATACCAAACGCCGATACCACACAGCATGTGATAAGCGCCATATTCAAACAAAGAAACACCGACAACAGAACAACAGACAGCAGAAAGGAGTTAAGGATGTCTACTACGAAGTATATGTATGCAATGAATATAATGTTAAACATTCAGTATTAATGCCTGTATAGCTGGTGTGCGCGAGCTGATAAACAAAGCACGCTGAGTGGATTGAGCGCGCGGCGGCGCAGATGCGTGAGCTTGTCGAGTGAATATACCTTTCTCACAGACATCACTGGAAAGTTTGTAGTTCGGTCGGATGTGTCAAAAACAAGTAAGTAAAACAATTCACAAGTCACTTAACGGTAGGGAGAGAGAGAGAGCGAGAGAAAGATAGAGAGAGAGAGCGAGAGAGAGCGCGCACTTCTGTTGTGTGATCTTTGATGGTCACTCACTTAGCACACGCATCATTTGAATTAAATGACTTCCTGGCGAAAGTGAAACTAGCAACCTGTGAGAAATGCGCTAGACTGTACTACTGTCCTCTCATTCTGCACCAGTACAAACCCTTCCCAACACTCTTGCAACTCATTGACAATGTCCCCACAACACTCTCACAATGCTCCCACAGCACCCCCACAATCTCTTCATAAAGTTCTAACGACTCTTACAACCATTCCACAACATTCTCACAACGCTCTCACAACCATTCCACAACACTCTGATAAAGTACCCTTTACTACTGCAATGTGTCCAGAACCCTCTTATAACAACCTTAAAAACAACTTTCTCACAGTTCTCACATAATCCTCCACAACACTTTCTCACAATGCACCCAAAATGCCCTCAATATGCTTCCACAACGTCACCACAACTCTCTCACAATGCTCTATCAACCCTCTCATAGCACTCTAAAAATTGTCCCACAATGCTCTCCCAAAGCACTATTCCACAACCCTCTCGCAATTCTCCCATAATATCCTACAACACTCTCACAACCCTCTCAAAATGCTGTCAACCCTCTCACAATGCTCCATAATATGTCCCACAACACAACGCTCCAATAACATTCTCACAACATCCCCACAACCCTCTGACAAAGCTCTAAAAAATGTTCCAAAATCCTTCTCACAATTCTTCCAAAATTCTCTCATAATTCCCCACAATGCCCTCACAACTTTGTTACAACCCTCCCACAATGTGCCCAAAATGCCCTCACAACCCTCTAAAAATGTCCCAAAACCCTTTCACAATCCCCTCACAATGCAGCCCCATAATCCCCCACAACCTTGTCACAACCCTCTTACAATGTACCCAATATGCACTCACAATGTACCCACAACCATTCCACAACGCTCTCACGACCATTCCACAACACTCCCATAACACTCACAAAGCCCCCACAACCATCCCGCAATGCTCTCACAACATTCCAACAACCATTCCACAACACTCCCATAACACTCACAAAGCCCCCACAACCATCCATCCCGCAATGCTCTCACAACGTTCCAACAACCATTCCACAACACTCTCACAACTCTCCCACAGCCATCCCACAATGCTCCTACAACCATCTCACAACACTCTCACAACGTGCCAACAACCATTCCACAACCATCCCACAATGCTCTCACAACATTCCAACAACCATTCCACAACACTCTCACAACTCTCCCACAACCATCCCACAATGCTCACAATGCTCCAGTGGTGGACGAAGTACACAAATCAAGTACTTGAGTAAAAGTACAGATCCGTATAATAAAATATTACTCCAGTAAAAGTAAAAGTACTCAGTTTTCAATTTTACTTGAGTGAAAGTACAAAAGTACTTTTTTATGTACTTAAGTAAAAAAGTACCGATAGATGAATGTTTATTTTGCAGTTTTATATAGGGTACTTTTATCATTTAATTTTATATTAGCATATATATTTTTTTATAATCCTACTGCTCAAAATACCTGGGATTACAGTAACGAAGTAAAACTACTCCGTTACTGTCCACCACTGCAATGCTCCCACAACCATCGCACAATGCTCTCACAATGTTCCAACAACCATTTGCCCTGGAATTATTACAGAGGTTGTGTGAGAAAAACACAGACATAGCAGATTCAGACGGGATTAAAATCACAAAGTATGTCTGTGAAACACAAATTTCTCTAAAGACCCCCTGGAAAAGTAGTCCTGTTCCGAATAGGACTTTTGTTGCAGCACTGAATTACAGTTACACTTACACTATGTTGGACCCACCCACATTTTTCTTTGCTTCCGACGCCCATGGCAACAACCATTCCACAATGCTCCCACAATGCTTTCAAAACCATTCCACAACACTCCCACAACGCTCTCACAACACTCTCACAACCATTCCACAACACTCTCAGAATGCTCTCACAACCATTCCACAATGCTTCCACAACCCTCTCACAACCATTCCACAACCCTCTCACAACCATTCCACAACATTCTCACAACGCTCTCACAACCATTCCACAACGCTCTCACAACCATTCCACAACGCTCTCACAACCATCCCACAACCCTCTCACAACCATTCCACAACCCTCTCACAACCATTCCACAACATTCTCACAACGCTCTCACAACCATTCCACAACGCTCTCACAACCATTCCACAACGCTCTCACAACCATTCCACAACGCTCTCACAACCATTCCACAACCCTCTCACAACCATTCCACTATGCTCTCACAACCATTCCACAACACTCACAACCCTCTCACAACCATTCCACAACGCTCTCGAAACAATTCCACAACACTCACGACGCTCCCACAACGCTCTCACAGCCCTCAGTATCATCTCAGGCGTGTCTGCGGTACCTGCAGCATCTCTCTGCTCTGTCTCAGCTCTCTCTGCAGGTTCTCTTCTGCGACGCTGCGGTCGTGTCGCTCGGCCTGCAGCCGCTGGGTCAGCGTGTACTGGTCGCAGTGAAACCCCACTGCAATCTGGGTAAACGTGCTCTGCGTGTGTTTTACAGATGTTACCGACGTCTGGAGGTGTTCGGATCTACATCTAACATACATTCAGACAGACTCACCTCCACTTCCTCCTCCGTCATCTCCACGCAGCTGTGAGAAACACTTCCTGTTAGCGTTAGCATTAGCATACTGTGTGTGTTTCATTGGGTCTTTACCTCTTTAATCCCAGTCGGTCCACAATGGATAAACTCTCCCAGGAAGCTGCCAGCAGGTTCTTTGAGTTTGAATCTGTTTAGTGTGAACAAAACCAGCTAAAGTTTTTCTCGCTAAGCATGCTATTATGATACTATGGTATCAATGGTATGTTCGCAAGCGTGTGTATGTTGTACCGTCATCGCTGTCGTCACTGTCTCCCAGTATTCCAGTATAATTATCCAGGCCTGATTCACTCATCTGCTGATAAAACACTGATATACTAATATAACACTACACATACTATATTTACTGTAATATAGAGTGAAGCTCTTCTTACCGTAGCTGCCGTGTTTGTATGCAGTCCGTTCAGAGATAAAGAGTCAATCATAATCTTCTTAACGCTCATCAGGCCTGAACACTGATCTGGAATCATCTGTGGTGATGTGAAGCAGCTCAACACACACAACACCACTGATCCCAGAGCAGCAGCAAGCCACAGCATGACAGCAGCTCAGTGTGGAACCGCCACAGACCAGAGCCACTCAAACTCAAAACTACATTCCCCAGCAGCAAACGTGAGACTAAAGGGGTCAAAGGTCATCGGTCACAAGATAGCAGAGAAAAAAATGTCTATGAATAAATTAAATTGTTTAATAAATATCACTTCAGTATCACTTTTTTAATTAAAAATGTGTATTATTATTATTATGTATTATTATTTGTATCTTTATTAAACTGATTAATTCATCAATATTGGCATTTCAAGTCATTTTCCTGACAATTTTTTGAATAATGCTGAAATTTCAATGAACTTATTGTGTCTAAATAAATAAATACATAAATAAAAATGAATGCAATTATTTAATGCACTTATGTTTAATAAAAATATTTCTTATTATTCGTTAGTTTACATTTCTAGTTTTTTTAAATTATTGTTTTTTTAAAAGTCATTTTCCTAGCCATTTTTTTAACATAACATATTAATAAACATACTAAATCTTGTTTTAGCAAATAATTAAAACAAGGAATCTAAAACACACAGTGACCCTCAAAAATGTCCAAAAAATTCAAAACACCCAGATTACTCCCTAAATATATATCTCTCAAAAACACCTCAATGATACCCTAAAAACACCCAGTGACCCCCAAAACCACCAAATGAATCTCTAAAACACCCAGATTACTCCCTATTTATTGAACCTTATAAACACCCCAATGAACCGCTAAAACACCCAGTGACCCCCAAAACTGCCAAACGAACTCTGAAACACCCAGATTTTTTTCTAAATACTTAATGACCTTCAAAAACACGCCAATGATCCCCTAAAACACCCAGTGACCCCAAAATGCCTAGATAACTCCCTAAATATTTGACCCTCAAAAACACCCCAATGATACCTTAAAATGCATGGTGTATTTCCAAATATGAGCTACAGAACTCGTGACTAGTGTTTGAGCATATCAGAGTCAAGAGTACAAGAACTGAAAAACTGAGAGCTGATTTACACAACTGTACAAAAAAATCAAAACTTTGACAACCTTATAGAAATCTAAGGAACCGTCTTCATTGACTGCTGAGATTCTTTGTTTATGAATGTGCAAAACACTGTTTGGTTCTGTAACAGTTCATTCATGTGTGTCTGAAGCCCCATGATTTGAGAGCTGATCCGTCTAATCTGTATTAGGCAGATTTCAGCATCTCACGTGACCAAATCCTGCTTGAAACCCTTAAATGCTTTTGTTTTGCGCTCCGACTCAGCGTGAGCAACAGCAGAATCCGGACTGGAATCGGACCGCTTGCTGGGACGCGGAACTAGCGCAGAACACACACAATGGAGAGAGGGCGAGTTATGCCGCCCTGGGGCCGCATTGTTCATACAACATCTGTGGAGCACATTCACACACACACACACACACACACACACACACCCTTAAAACAAACAAAGATCATACACCACACACACGTACTAACACAAATAATCACGTGTAATGACAATCATAATCAGATGGGCGTGTTGTCCTGAGATCCACATGAGTGTTCTGTTCACGCGTTTGCTTCATGACCTTACGGAGAGGAAACAAATCCAACAGAACGCAGGGTCACGACCTTCAGCTGAGGAGGAAATATACGTAACGGACCGGAAACCACCTGACAGAAGAACACGACTCAGAGGAAGAGAACATACCCTTGAGAACCTTTCACTGACCCTCACGCCCTGATACAACACGACTGATTCTCAAAACACACAATGAGCCTCAAAAACATCCCACTGACCTGTGACACACCATCTGAACCTCAAAAACACCACAGTGAAGACCTAAAATGCCCCATTCACCCTGATGATCCTCTTAAACAGCCAGTGACCCTCAAAAAACATCCAGAAACTCCAGAATACAAAGATTACTCCTTAAATACTTATTAAACCTTAAAAACAGCCCCAAATGATCCCCTAAAACACCCAGTGACCCCCATAACTGCCAAACGAACTCCGAAACACAGATTATTCTATAAATGCTTAATGACCCTCAAAAACACCTCAATGATCCCCTAAAACACCCAGTTACCCCCAAAATGCCCTGAAACCCATGAACACCCAGATTACTCCCTAAATATTTAATGTCCCTCAGAAACACCTCAATGATTTCCTAGAACACACAGTGACCCTCAAAAATGTCCAGAAATTCAAAACACCCAGATTACTCCCTAAATATATGTCCCTCAAAAACACCTCAAGGATACCCTACAAACACCCAGCGACCCCCAAAACCACCAAATGAATCTCCAAAACACCCAGATTACTCCCTAAACACTTACTGAACCTCAAAAACACCCCAATGAACCCATAAAACACCCAGTGACCCCCAAAACTGCCAAACAAAATCTGAAACACCCAGATTATTCTCTAAATACTTAATGACCCTCAAAAACACCTCACTGATTCCCTAAAACACCCAGTGACCCCCAAAATGCCCAGAAACCCATAAACACCCAGATAACTCCCTAAATATTTGACCCTCAGAAACACCCCAATGATACCTTAAAACACCCAGTGACCCCCAAAACCACCAAACGAAACTAAAACACCCAGATTACTCCCTAAATATTTAATGTCCCTCAAAAACACCCCAATGATCCGCTAAAACACCCAGTGACCCCCATAAAAACCCAATGAAACTCCATCACTCTCAGATTGCTCCCTGACCCTCAAAACACCCACTAGCTCTCAAAAACATAATTGACCTTAAAAAATTACACCTCATTTAATATATTTATCCTGTGTGTCCTCTTAAGATGAAAAAAACAGTTAGTTAAACCATGGTAATCACAAATTAACCATGGTTTTGCTACACTAACCATAGTTTAACCATGGTATTTGTAGTAAAACGGTGGTTATACAAAAAAAAGAAAAAAAAAAGGAAAAAGACATTACTACACTTTTACTATGGCTAATTTTCTTGAGAGATTTGTATTTGTGTATTCTTTCTCTTTTTTTCTTTTTATGCTTTTGTTTTTATAACTGCACGGCCTTAATGGTTTGATGTTTTCTTCTGTTTAATAAGAAAAATCTGAAAAAATGATTCGCGATCTGCGCTCCGAAGTCCCAATCTGACACAAATTATTCAGGAAATGATTTGCGAACCCGCTCTGAAGTTCCGATCTAAATAAAATGATTCGCGATTTGTGCTCCAAAGTCCCGATCTGAATAATGCACCATATACCCTTAAATAGGGCACAGCCATTTTTAGTGGTGTAAAAGCAGCAAATGGGGTAAACTTTAGAACACTTCGGCCAATTTGCTTGTTTAAAAAAATTAATAAAAAATAAAATTTGCTCCAACACACCCAGGTGACACCCAAAAACACCCACACACCCTCTAAAACAACCACTTACCTCAAAAATAATCCAGTAACCCCTAAAATCTCTCTTTGAACATAAAAGATGTTGGTTTGGTTTGCACTACACAAGCATGTTTAGGAATCAACCCAGAAGATGCATTAGTGAGGTTTTACCCTGTAGTTTTATTCAGATGTTCTTCAGGCGTTTTACAAAAGCCTGTAGAAAACATCAGCGGTCGTTCATCCTGCAGTGCAGATGGAGGAATGTGTTCCCCTCATTCACATGGACACATTTCATTGGCATTCATCTCCGTTCAAAACGGCACAGATTCACAGCATCTACAGGATCCAGTTAGCAGCACAACCGCGGGAAACAACACCAGACTGAGGTCAAAGGTCACAGCCGATACAGGAACAGCTTTATATAATGATATGCTCGATTGGGGACATCGTGTTGCGACCACAGCCACTGATTCAGGAAACCAACTAATAAAGCGTTATTAAATAACATTAATATAAACTCTGGAGTCAGATATTCAATCACTGATCTGAGCTCTGATATAAATGTGATCACAGTATAATTTCTCAGAAACGCAAACAGAAAGAAACAATTAAAAAAAATGGAAAGTTCGAGGTTTGCAAGTTGTAATGACGTTCTGCCAGTTGTTCGGGTGTTGCAATAGCGATCCCCGCTAAGAAAAACCAGCCTAAACTGGTCTTAGCTAGTCTTGTAGCTGGCTTGTAAAGAGGGTTTGGGCAGGTGAGGCTGGGAGACCAGATAAGACCAGCTTAAACCAGGTAAGACCAGCAAACCATCATAGGCTGGTTTAAGCATTGTTTTGTTTCTTAAGCGATCTAGTTTTAATCTCTTGAAGCATTTAAGATTAGTGAAAGTTTCATGTGTCGTTTAATTTTGAAATGCATTTCATAACGATTCGAAACAATGCAAGAGCTTGTTGCATTCTCAATGCCGCCACAAGGGGCGCTATTGGGGACATTAGCATTAAAGTCAGCCCAACTACTATCAAGACGGAGCAGAATCTTGCTGAGCAGATTAGTTAAAGTTAGTTAAATGTGTTGACGTGTTTACATGTAGCTAGTAGAAAAAAATAACATCTTGTTTAATAATTTGATCATTTGAAGGTAACTCTAATGCCCCCTTCAGTGCTGAGGTTTGTTACCGCCACATGAACACAAACGCATACGTTTAAATACAACAATGCGCTCGTATGTTCCGTTAGCGTTGTTTTTGGCTTTATCAGCAACACAACGAAAGGCTAGCTTGCGAACGACCCAAACAAATGAAAATGGAGAAAACTAAACGGATTTCACGAATAGCAGCAACCTTTGGTATTTAATTTCAGACGGCAAAATAGCTATAGTCGCGGTAGCGCTGCAGTATTTCGCAAGTGTCTTATTGGTCAACGCGCTTTTGTCACAACTTAAATGAATAGGAATGCACTGCTGCGATTTGAAGACGCCGGAAATTTGAGGCGAGTATTGTTGTGTATAAACAGCGCAATATTGCGTTTCACTGACGTCTCTTTGACCCGCACAATCTGACCCAGTCCGGTTTAGAGTTAAGTTTGCGCTGATTTCATCAGCGACAAATCGTCCGTTTTATAAAAACAACAACTCTGAAGGTCACAGTGATCGGTCAGCGTGCCTGGAATGGTTCGACTCAGTACATGTCCCTGTAGATCTCCTGCAGCAGCGGATGCAGCGACGTCTCGGACTCCGTCTTCTTGATCTTCTGCACCAGCTGCGCGTTCTCCGTCACCAGCT